TAACACCCTGTCCCTTTAGTTTTCATGTTACAAATGTCTCCTTCCAATCTGCCATCTCTATCAACTTTGCCCATTGTGTTTTTCATTGAGCAGGTCTCCTATGTTTTCATGTAATCAAGTTTAGCAAATTTTCACCTTATGGCTCATGTATTAGGTGATTTGTTTAAGAAGAGTTTTCCTACCTTTAAGTCACAAAATTTTCTCCTACATTTTCTTCTCTTGATTTTATAATTTTACCTCCCATACTTAGATCTTTAATCCTAAGCATTAAATAGGGAACTTATTCCACTTCCCACCATAAAGTGAACCAGTTTTATGATACCATTTAAAAAACAATCTCCACTTTCCTTGTTTACTTGTAAGACCCCCCCTTATTTTATGTTAGGGTTCCATATATGAGTTTGTCTCTGAGCTCTCTCTAATGTTACCCAGGTTAATGATCAGTTCTTGGGTCAGGACCAAAATATTTTAATTATATGGATTTTTAGCCTGTCTTAAAATCTGTTGGGAAAAGTCCCCATTCTTTGTTCTCCTTTCAGGGTTGATCTACCTACTTTATGGGTTTTATTTTTCCATTTAAACCCTGAAATTTATAACATTCCTCAAAATTTTCATCTGGGGTCTTAATTGAGTTGTGTTGACACTATTAAATTAGAAAAAATAGTCACCTTTGTAATAACATACTATCTCATTCTATCCAAGAGCATAGAATGTTTATTCAGTTCTACTTTTATGTCTTTAAGAGACTTTAAAAGTTTTGTCTGTAGAGGTCTTGTGAATTCTTCTTTAATTCTTTTTTTTTTTAAAGATGTGGGGTACAATTCAGGGTTAGGTATATAGGTGTTCATTATGCAGTTACCCTTGTTGATGAGGTGTGCCCCTCCCTCCCCTGGCTGTTTCCCTCAACTGCCAATCCTACCCCCCCTCCCCTTGTAGTTTCCCACTTCTGCCAATCCCTTTCTTACAATATTATGATGGTTGTTCAGGTCCACATATGAGTGAGAACATATGGTACTCTGTTCTTTGTTTCTGTGATAGATCACTGAGTATAATAGACTCTAAATCTGTCCAAGTTGCTACAAAGTCCATATGTTTATCCTTCTTTATGGTTGCATAATATTTCATTTTTATTTCTTTTTTATGCTGTAAAGTCTCTGCTTCTACTGAGAATATACCTCATTTTTCATTATGTTTTCTAGTGGGTTATCATTATTATAGATAAATGCTCTTGATTTTTATATATTATCTTATATCTATTTACCTTGCCACACTCTTATTCTCATAATTTATTGTTTCTTGTGGTTTTTCTTTTCAGGTAATTATATTATCTAAAAATAATGACAACCTTGTCTCTCTCTCTCTTTTTTTTTATTTCAATCTTTTTTCTTTTTTTTATAATATTTACCAGAGCCTCCATTAGTGTGTGTTAACAACAGAATTTTAGTTCTAGGTTTTTATGGGCATAATGCTTATCTTTCTATTCTTTAATCCTTGTCTTTTTCAGGAAACAAAATTTTTTGTTATTTTCTTCCATGTGTCTTAGGCACCCTCCTTGATTTATTTCTAGTCTTATTGAATTCTTCCTCTAAGAGCTTTTCAAAGTAGGCCTGTTTTATGGTGAAATCTTCTGAGGTCTTCCTTGCCTCCCAATATATTTTAAATTTTGGCTTCCTAGCTAAAGGACAGTTTGGTTGGATATAAAAATTCTAGACTTTTAAAGATTTTTTCCTTTTAATACTTAAAAAATATTACTCAGTTATCAACTTGTATCCAATGCTGCTATTGAGAAATTTGGTATATATGCTTCTTACTTGTTTGCAGATAACTTACCTCTTCCTTTGAAAACATTTATAATTTTTTCTTTGTTTAGGTGATCTTAAATTTATTAAGTGACTTAGGTGTGGGTTTTTCCTTTATCTGTGCTACAGGATTGGGAAGAGAGTGAGACCAAGAAGAGGCCTAGGCAGGCTGCAGAATTGAAGAGGACACTCGCTCCTAGGGTCACACAAGTGCCTTCTTAAATCTTATATCCTTTGTGCCTCACTTGCCTCGTCTATTTCCTTCCTCTGCTACCTGTTTGATATTCTGTGAGCTCTTTCAGTCTGAGGCCTTTGATCTTTTTTTAATCCTTGAATATTTATCATCATTATTTCTTCACATATTTCCTTTTCTCTATTTCTCTGAATTCTGGTGTAGATACTTCTACCTTCCATGTCTCTTAGCTTTTCTTTTATATTTTTATTTCTCTATCTTTTCCTGTTGTCTTTTGAGAGAGCATCACAGTCTGATTTTCTAGTGGCTAAATTTTGTTACTTACCCCATTTATTTTTTTATTTCAGCTGTTATACTTTTAATATCTAACATTTTATAGTATTCCTTTTTTGCAACCTCCTACTCGTATTAATGATACTTTCTTCTATATCTTTGAGGATGTTTCGTTATTCTTATTTTAAATTCTTGGTATAATAATTCTGCTTCACATAGTATATGCTTACTTTTGTTTTTGTTTTGTTTTGTTTTTCTTTTATGGTCAAGTTTAGATTGATCATGTTCCACTAGGGAAACATGTGCAGGCAAAGGCTGAAGATCAGGGTCTGGTTTGCATGCCTCTCTGTGAACTTAAAGAAAATGAGGTTCAGGTTGAAGAGCTTCTAGTACCACCAAACTCATTGTGACCATCATTATTTGCTGCCATTCTACTAGGCTTATTCCTCTAGTCAGGAATCCACCCCACCACCCTTACACTGTTTAAAAAGAGGTATTACTGAGAAAAGGCAATAACTTGATGTTTCTAATCCACTAGCACTGATGGTTGCTAGGGGAATGTAGAAAGAAGAAATGCCCTAGGGACCAGGCAGTATGCATCCATTTTCATCAGCTCCTTATTCTGGAGGGACTTCTGTGCTGTTGTGATGTTACTATATTGATAACACATGGCTAGGCAGTTGCTTCCAGCCTCTGTGGCCCTGGGCACGCAATGATCTTTCCAAGGCAATGTGGAGAAAAGTCATGAGCAGATTTTAAAAGCTCTCCCTCAACCTCTTCTCTCTTGGCTGCATCTGACCTTCCTACCCTCCAGCCCAAGTTGTCACCAACCCTTCATACAGTTTACTAAAGCCTTTGGGTTTCTCACTTTTTTTAATAGTTCATTAGATTCATGCTTCTTCTCCCTTCCATTGTTTCCTCTTTTGTCAGGATACAAAAGAGCTGACCCCTTGCCAAATTTGAAGACCCTCCATAATTTGACCACTACACTCTAGAGACTTTAATAACATTGTCCTTAATCCTCACAATTCTGAAATCAAATTATTATTGTCTTCATTTTAGAGAGGGGGAAATTGAATCTCAGTGAAGTCTAATTTTTTTTTCAAAGTCACGCAGCTAAGAAATGTGGTAGAACCAGTATTTGAAAACATTTTCTTATACCCAGAACCCATACTTTGTATACTCCATTAACCCTACCTAATGCCTAAATTTAGAACGGCTTCATTTTATCCAAGAAGTAATCAAACTATGCTTCTGAGCAAACTAGTGTTCCATGAGATAGACCATGATATTCATCCCAAAGATGGTAGTCTTCTCCCACTTGATGGGAAAAAAAAAAGTAAGTTATAGATAGGATTTTTTCAGTGTCATAGTTATTAAATCTTTGCACTGTTGTTCTTTGTGTTCTATAGCAAGTCCTAAGAGCAAGATAGAAATGCATTTTAATAGCCAATCTCAATTAGAAATCAATAAAATGTTATCAGTTACTATTTTTTTAACTGCTAACTGGGGAAAGAGTGCCACTTTATATCACGTAATGTATAAATATTTGAATACTCATCACTCCTGCTAATAAAATGAATTTATATCGGTGTCTGAATATTGAACTGAATTCACAAATGTTTAATAAATGTAAATTTACTAACAAGTTTTCCTTCCTTAGTAATCCCCCAATTTCAAGGGTATGATTTTGTAAAATTAAATTTTATTTTATTTGTTAATAGTTAATACATGCATATGATACAAAATTCAAATGTGCTATAAAAGGAGATACAGTGAAAAGTGAAGCCACTGCTTGCCACCTCTGTCCTCTAGTCACCTAATTCCCTTTTCCTATGGGAACCACTGTTACCAGTTTCTTGTATATCATTCCGTAGACATACTAGGTGTACATAAACTCTTGCATACGTATTTTTAAAAATTTTTCCTTGGTAGAATTTTAGCTCACTAAACCTTTTTGATTATTAGCAAGAGTATGGAAGTTTCTCTGGTTCTTTAAATAACCCAGTCTGCTGGAAGTAAATTATTTAGAATATTAAACATACATGGAGTAGAGACCATTGTAATGAATTCCTGTATACTCATCAATCAGATGAAACATGATTTTAAAAAGTGATTTTTAAATGTTTTGATGTGCTTGCAAATTTTCTGAACCTCTGCCATTGGGTAAAATGAAAAGAATGATGTATTCAACTCTACAACTACAGCAGCCCTAGAGTCTTTCAGTTCATTCTGTTGGTTCTAGCTAGGAGCAACTTCAGCAAAGAATTTCTAGTCCATTGCCTTAACCACTTGGCCATGACTACAGATTCAGCATAGAATTTCTCATATTCCATCTACTAGTAAAAAATAAGTTGACAAGAAAATTGTACTTATGCTTTCCCTAAAACATATTGGTATCTGTATAAAAAAGCATGTCACAGATTTTTAAGACTAATAGATATTTAGTGTTATTGTATTAATATTAATTTAATATTAGTCTTAAAATTATTAATATTTCCACATGTGAGGCTAATTGGTTATTTTGATTTGTTTTTGCTTCATGGAGAAAAAACTGATGACTCCATTATATTTATTATTTAGATGTGTGTAAATAGTCTTGCTTACTTAAGTAATTTAGTTTTATTTTCATTTTAGTAAACCATGAATATTATGAATACTGGTCATATTTCAATATGCAAATCTAGTTTTTGTCCTAACTTCTGGTTTTTGTCCTAACTTCTTTTTTTTCTTAGTTCCACTTGCCTTTCCTGATGTATCAGCAAAATTTCAAAACAATTTTATAGAGCACATCTCTTTTATGCATCAATATGATGCCAGGAAAACTCCCAATGAGCCCATCTGGGGAAAGGTGAGACAGTATTTAGAATTAATTATTTAATAATTTAGAACAGAGTAAATTTATAGTAGAAGTTAAGCCCTTTCAAATCATAACCATCTTTCTAAAGTCTACCTAATTAAATATAGTTATTACTAGGATAGTCTCTCAGTCACATTAAATAGTAAATTTAATAAATGTAAATTTACTAACAAATTTCACAAGGAATGATATAATTTAGATCACAGTCTTTGGCATTTGGTTTACTTAAATTATTAAAATAATTTGTGTAAGATAATATAAAAGCTTAACTGGGTGCAGTGGTGCACACCTACAATCCTAGCTACTTGGGAGGCTGAGCCAGGAAGATCACTGGAGCTCAGGGATTTTGAGTCCAGCCTGGGCAATATAGAAAGACTCCATCTCTAAAAATAATAATAATACCAAAGCTATCTGATAAACCCTTTGATATGTTTAATGTATATGTGTGACAGGGAGACAAATATAAGTCAGTGATTGGATTTTTTTCCAACTACAGATGTTTGCTTTCATATTTTATTATTACTAAGTCTTTTGTTGGCATTAATAGATATTTAGGAGGCAATCAGAAATGTTTATGTCTATGAACTGTAGTTTTGGTTGTATCCATAGCAACCTATTGAGCAACAAATGAAATTTGATATGAATAGTCTTACAATCCAAATGATAGAAAAATTGATAATGGGAGATAAGAGATGCTTCTCCTTTGATTTTCTGCCTCTTCCCTTCCTGTTCATTTTCTGGTATGCCCTATATTGTAATTTATATAAAAATTTCACCAATAATTATTATGGTAGTGTCTTTGGTTTGGGACTAAGGTGACCGCCAAGAGGCAGAGAAATAAGTGCATGCATCACTAGGACTGGAGCTGACCCACAAATGCAGTTCACAGCTGCATCTTCCAGCAAGTTGTGTTCCCCTGGTTAATGTCAACTTTGTTTTCCTTTCCAGAGACACGGAGCTTTTGTGCAGAGAGAGATAAAACCAGGGAGTAGGCCAACAGTTCCTGAGGGAACAGAGGTATTACTGAATGCTCCAGGGTCATGTTCATCACAACAGCCCAAAAAAACAGAGAAAGGAAATTCAGTGGAAACCAGAATGATCTCATCGGGTCTCTACCAACAAAATTCCCAAGAGCTGTTAGATACTAAAACTCGCTTATCAGAAACAGACGTCAAAGAGGCAGCCAAGGTATGCCCCAGGAGTCCTGAGAGCAGAGAGAAAACTGCAGACATCTCTCAAACTACTATAACAGATGCTTTTCTCACAAAACTTGAGTCTTTAAATCCACCAGTAAAGGAATCAGGATAAATTACCTTCTTCAGATAAAAATACAATCCCTGGAATGTAGAGAAACTTTCACAATCATCATACAGATCCTCACATTTTTTTTTCTATCAGTAACCCCAGAACATACAATTTACATAAATGGAAAAAAGGAAAAAAAGATAATTGAAATACATCCAAACTTAAGTGTGGTTGCCAATGAGTGATGAATTGAGACATTATTTCTGTGTCAGATTATTTATAAACATAACTTTGTTTTGCACAAAAATGAACATAATTAACAAATATTATAAAACCTTGAAGAGAGGCCCTGTTAGACAGTCATGAGTTACAGCTCTGGAATCAAACAAATTAGGGTTGAAATGTTGGCTTCACTTCATTCCTTGAGCTAGAGGTACATTCCTTAACCTCTCTAGACATCAGTTTTCTCATCTCCAAAATTAGGAAAATAGCAACTTCATAAGATTATTGAGCATGAGATTATTCATTTTGATCAATGTAAGTGGTCACTGTACTCACATCATCACTGTTGCTATCATTAAATGTTCAATTTAAGGATAATGTTCTCCTATAAATTTAAATTGCCTTCCTTGTTCTAAATTCTAGAACTCCTCCATATATAATTAAGAGTGTGAAAATCTAAAAACATTTCTGCTCAGTACAAGATGCGTGCTCGCACACGCACACTCACAGGCACACACTTAATTTAAAGACATATGGGTACTTAGAAAATTGAAATATTTTCTAAATTGTCTTCTGTTTTACTTAGATCATTTTTAACACTAACTCAACATTTGCTTTTTGGATGAGTGTGGTAAGGATGAATCCTACCAGCTATCCTGATTTGGTGTGTTTGATATGCCACAGTATATTCACTGTAAGATAAGTTACATCGCCAGACGTGGTGACTCAAGCCTGTGATCCCACTACTTTAGGAGGCCGAGGCAAGAGGATTGCCTGAGCCCAGGGGTTCAAGACCAGCCCAGACAACTTGGTGAGACCTTGCCTCTACAATACACCAAAAAATTAGCCAGGCATGGTAGCATGCGCCTGTAGTTCCGGCTACTTGGAAGGCTGAGGTGGAAGGATTGTTGGAGCCCAGCCGGTCAACTCCAGGGTTGCTATGAGCATGCCATTTCCTCTAGCCTGGGCGACAGAGTGAGACTCCGACTCAAAAAAAAAAAAAAAAAAGTTCTATTATATATAAGTGGAATTGGTAAGAGTATTCCTCTCCTGGAAAGAGTATTTACAAATTTCCATGGGAATGTATCATTTCCTCATGATTATCTTTAGTACTGATAAGACTTCAGCAATATCTTTAACCATTTATCCTCCACTAAAGAAATTTTAATAGACTGTAAAAGAAGAAATGTCATTATTCTGTATTTGTGTATTAGGGTTTTCTAATTCTTACAACATGAAAGATGAGGCTAATTAGTGAACTCTTTGCAATACACACCTTGAAATGCTAAATAAAATGGAACAGCAAACAAATATACAAACAAAAAATGACGGGTCTGTCAAGACAGGGCGGACTTTACTCTACTCACATAACCAGGAAGACAGCAAGAAATTTGCCTCTGTCTGGAGCTATAGATGGTGAATAAACTCTTTGTGAGAAAAGTAAAACCCCAAACTTGTACCACCCTTCAGTTTGGAATATGAGTTTCTATGCAGGACTTGTCATAGGACACAGAATGAACTAAAAATTAATCCTGCTAGTGATACCTCTGAGGGGCCTGACCAAAGCAAATGCAAACATCCTCCTAGAGAATTTTCATGATCCACAGGAGAGAACAATCCCTGATAAAGGTAGGTCACAAACAAAGATTTTTAATCACACAGGGAAGAAAAACAATCAGCAGGCATCTGCAGTACAAAGAATAATTAAAACTTCAAAACTAGAGATGACAGAATTGAAACACTTTCAATTTGAAGATTCTTGGTTTTCTTCTACTCTTGGGCATTTTATTATGTTGCTTTATTCTTTTATTTCTACCTCCCCCCCCCCCATTCTCTCTCCTCTCTTTCTGGAACAGCTTCTAGCTGAATGTTGGAACACTTGGATCTATCATCTATGTCTCTTAACTTTTCTCTCATACTCTTTCTCATGGTACTTTACCACTAAGTAATGCAAGAATTCCCTTGATATTAACTTTCTTCTAACTAATTTGCTTTTCAGCCATGTCCATTGATAAGCAAGACCATTTATTGAAACTTAAAACACCATCATATATTTTTAATGTCCAAGATCTATACATACTTTCACAATACATAAAACTCATCCTATATTATGGATATTATAGTTGCTCTTATCTCTCTTAGAATATTGTAGTTATGCCTCAAATTTTTTGTTTGCTCTCTTTTATTTTGGGGGGGGCAATGGGGGAAATGGGGTCAGAGTCTTACTCTATCACCCAGACTAGAGTGCAGTGGCAAGATCGCAACTCACCACAGCCTCCACCTCCTGGGTTCAGGCAGTCCTTCTGCTTCAGCCTCCTGAGTGGCTGGGACCACAGGTGCAAGCCACCATTCCTGGCAAATTTTTAAATTTTTCTGTAGAGATGAGGTCTCACTATATTGCCTAGCTGGTCTTGAACTTCTCTGGACCCAAGTGATCCTCCCACCTCGCCCTCCCAAAGAGCTGGGATTATAGGAATGAGCCACTGTGCCAGCCTGCTCTCTTAATTCTGTTAATTTCTGTTAAGTGTGATGCCTCACACTTTCGGTATTGTACTTTTTTTCTCAAATGCTTAGTAATTCTTAATTGTCTGCTCTTCTTTGATTATAAGATTTCTAGACCATTATCAGTATGAGCTGCTTCCGTTTACTATAGCCTGGCTTTGGGACAAGGTTAGGAGATGTAGGATCTGAAAACAATTTGTTTTATAGGCTCTTTGATCCTCTGAGGGGCTCAGTAGCTATGAGGCATTGCCCTGCTTCTCCAGCCCCAGTGTATGACTCATTCATGCCACACTGCCACTGCTTAACACAGGCAAGAGAACAGGGAGGGGTTGGCCGATTTGCTGCTCTGTATAGCTCCCTAATTTTTCAAAATAATCAATGCCCCAGGGCCTCTTCCACCTCTTTTTTTTTTTTTTTTTTTAATTTATTGTAGAGAAGAGATCTCGCCAAGTTGCTCAGCCTGGGCTTGGGCAAACCTCTCGCCTCTGCCTCCCAAGGTGCTGGGATTACAGGCATGAGCCACCGCGCCTGGCCTCTTCCACCTCTTTATATCCATTGACTACAGCCTTGTAGCTCTATCAGAGCTTTCTTCAGGTCTTCTCTACTCATATGGTAGCTTTTGTTTCCTTTAGTTTTGTTTCTCTAAATATTTGTTCTCTGGTAATATTCTTCAAAATGTATTAAGAATGTATTTTTTTCTGACAAGTTTCCTTGTTTTCCCATTATATTAAAAAGGATTTTATTATCTATAGGCAACTGGTAGCAGATGCCATCTTGAGTCAATCTCTAATTTTCTTTTTAAATAATTTGCAAACTTAGTACTTTAACCATTAATAAGTAACAAATTCTCTGCAACATACTTCATAGTTAACTAACAAACTTCACTGAGGATTGACATAATCCTTCTGTCCTAGAGAATGCGTTTTAACGAGAGGTGGAGGGTCTGGGATCAAACAGCCCAGCTGGTGTCTATAATGGGTAGGTTCCCAATCCTTTCAAATATGAAGACATCGTTCTGCATGAAAAAAAGTGTATGGTTTCTCACAAAATAGTAATTGAACTTTCAGTATTCTTCATTTGAGAAAATGCATAATAAAATGCAATGATGATTTCCAGGTCCAATTATGTATTTTTTAACTACTAAGGGTATGGCTTTCCAAAATGAATTCTATAGTCTGTTAAAGTCTTAACTGCTTGTCAGTACAAATAGCTCTCTTAAGTTTCACAAGAATATTTGAATGTTTCCAAGTAGTTCCCACATCAAGTATTTTTGTAGAATGATAGCTTTTACCAGGATACAGGATCTGTAGTCAAATTGTAAAAAATAAAACAAAACAACAACAACAAAAAATCCCACAACAACCATGATCTTCATATAATTTAATATTTCAAAAACACCTTAATGAATATGCTAATGATTTTTAACCCTTAACATTGCTATTAATAATAGCATAAATTTGTGTAGTGTATGTTAGGTATTCAAACATTTTCAAATTTATTATCCTTTTTTTTTCTGAGTTGGAGTCTCACTCAGTTGCCCAGGTTGGAGTGCAGTGGCATGCTCACGGCCACCTCAGCCTCAACCTGCTGGGCTCAGGTGACCCTTCTACCTCAGTCTTCCAAGAAGCTGGAACTACAGGTATGCACCACCATGCCCAGCTAATTTTTGTACTTATTGTAGAGAAGAGGTCTCACCAAGTTGCCCTGGCTCAAATTTATTATCTTATGTGGCCCTTAAAATAATTGTATGACAGGGCAAATAATAATATTTCAATTTTACAACTACTTACAGAGAACATACATGATTTCCCCAGGTCTGCAATTAGCAAGCAACAAAACTAGAATCGGAACCTAAGTTTCTCAATTCCCAGTCCATTAATTCCCAGGTGTCAACCAACAGGGCAATGCTGGCCCATGGCAGATGAAAAACAAGGATAATGTAAGAAGTATCAAAGTGAGTAATTTCAACACTTTATTGACAGACTGTGACTTTACTGCTTTTTGGAATTTAATACGCTCTCTGTTAGACTTCTTACCATTATAATAGACTAAGCTGACGTGGGAAGCACCCATCATTCCTAACACAGATAAATGTGGGTTAAAATAGAACAGAAACATTTAAAATACACAACGAAGTACTAAGCCAAGAAATTAAAGTCCTCAGGTGCCAGAAATGGAGAGAACACAAAAAAAGCAGAGCAAGAGGTGAGACTAAATAAGCAACTGGAGATTTGGGATAAAAAGATGAACTTAGGGGCTGGAATTTTGATGCCTGAGCTGAACTTGGAGTGGAGGCCCCTGTGCAGTGGAGTTAGAGCTGAGCCAGGATCCTAGAAGAGCTTTACTGTTGTGAAAAGAATTCTGGACTATCTTCTCCCATTAGCCTGGGAATTAGGGGAGGAAGCAGATTGATTACCACCCAGATAACACACCTACCAAACTGAGCTAGCTATGCACAGGAGTGGGGTCAAATGTACATTCATGAGTAGTGGAGGA